TATGTAACTCATATGAGACTTCTCCTGGGACTCTCTACCCCCTCCAAAAACTGGGTGCTATAAAAACAACATCTTGCTGATCTTTGGAAATTCACCTCTGAAACCACCCTGGTCAACCAGGTCAGATTGCTTGATCCCTTTGCCCCTTGGGGAACAGGTTCCTCTGGCTCCCATTGACTTGTGTGTAGGCCTAAGAGGCTAGGTCAGGCTGCTGTGTCAGGTGCAGTCTGGAAGGAGCACAGTGGAGGTGGTAGGCTATAAAACTGGCTGTCATTGTGCTCCTCACAGTGGTGTCCAAGGCAGAGCCTCAGGACAACACCCTCACAGGGCCTCAGAGGGCAGTTGCTGAAGGCCACAGAACCATATCTGTCCTGTGGTTGGTGCTGCTAGTGAGCCTGCCTACCTTTACCCTGGGACTCATCACATGGGCTGCTGTTCGGCACTTTCTCATTGCAGAAGTCCCTTCCATCTTGAAGCAACCGGTCAAGTTCAGGTTTCTGCATTGTGTGGTCCTGTTCACGATTGCTTTGGTGAGTCTGCCCTTGGGCACCATGAATTGGCTGTGACTTTGAGAGTCACAGAAACTCCATGCTTCTCTCTCCCTCTTTTCTCCCTTTCCTCCCTTCTTCTGTCTCTTTTTTCTTTGTTCTTACATTTCTTTTTGGATACAGCATCTCATGAAGCTCAGATTTGTCTTCAACTCATTATGTAGCTAAGAAAAATCTGGAATCTCTGGTCCTCCTGCCTCTACATCTTTAGTGCTGGGATTAGAGGTGTTTAGTTTATGAGATGCTGAGGATCAAACTAGGGGCTCCATGTATGCTCGACCAGTGCTCTATCAAGTGAGTTACATCCCCAGATCTTCTTTTCTTTTTTTAGATTTTGAGATAGTGTCTCATGATTTAGTCTAGCCTGGTTTTGAAGTGGTAATCCCCTGGCTCCTATCTCCTGAGGACTGGGGTTAGAGGTAGGTATCATTACTGTCATCTGCTAGAGAGCCCTCTTTTCTGGGGACTGAAAAGTAATTTCAGACCCAGTTGCTACCTACCGTAGGCATTTTAATCTCTGGAATCGCCTGACACCAAATTCTCAGGGCCCCTCTCCAAGGTTATAAACACAGTGACTGTTAATAGGGAAAGGAGGCTCGCTAACCTGCAAAGCTGCCTGCAAGCTGCCAGGGAGCTCCAGGGAAACAGGTGAGGTATAGCGCATGTTTGGATGGGCTTTCGGTGAATCACATGCCTTTGGATTGTAGAACCCTGAGACCCTCTTCATTCACCTGCTACCCCCCAATCCCTCCAGACCCCCACTAATTGCTCTTTTAGCTTCTGTAAAATGCTTGGCTGCTGCTTTAGACTTGCCTAGACATACCCTGGCATGCCCTGACCCCCGCCTGCTATTCCCCACCCCTCTTCCAGGAAACTATAGATTAAGCAAGCCTGAGCATAAAAACTGCCCTATAAGGTAAAAACAAACACTCCGGGCCCCACAGGTAACAGTCAGTACATTCCACAGCCCTGAGAATAGCACCTACCAATAAGAAACTTCCAGGGCTGCATCTTATACATCCAATCAGTTTAAAATTATGTTGGCGCACGTAGGCTCCTTGAACCAACCAAAATGTATCTTCAATAACTCCCCACCCCGCTTTTGTCTAAAACCTATAAAAGGTTCCTCTCTCCTTTACTCTGGGCTCTCAGCACGGATCCGTTGAGTTGGTGAGGTCTGAGAGCCCGAGCTTAAGCCCGAATAAACCATAAACCTTTGCTTTTGCATTTTGGTGTGTTGGGTCCTCAATGGTCTTTTTGGGGTCCAGTGGATGAGGTACAACAAGAACACATGTACGTGAATACGTACATATACCCCCCCCCACACACACACAGAAGACATGGACAGAAGGAAGAGAGAATGAGGGGCTCCTGGTGAGAAATTAGATTGGGGAGCAGCAAGGAAATCAGGGTCAAAAGATAGGAATTAGACTGAATAACTTGCTTCCCATACCAGACAGGAGCATGGAGGGTACAAACCAAGACAGTGCACAGGGAAAATGGAGCACCCTTGTCTCCTTGCTGTGGGTGAGACTTTTCAAAACACATAAGAGCCTCAAGGACATTGACAAACCCAATGGAAACGGGATTTGGATTAAACATGTGTGCCTAGTATCAGGACCTGCAGGGGATGGAGCTAAGGGGGTGGTGAGAGTGGAGGGGTCAGGAGAACTGCAGTGTTGTTATAAAATAGTGTCTGTGCATGCGTGCGTGTGATGTTTATATGAATGTGGGTAGGCCCTTGACAGGCCCTGGAAGGGGAAATGAGGGGGCTGGAAAACAACCTTTGGCTGAGATGATTCTAGAAACTAGATCGTATCTAGTTAGGAAGGAGCAGCAGGCAGCAGTGCTGGTGGCTGTTTGAAATTCACTCTTTTAGCTATTAAATTGACAGCTTTTTCAGAGAGTTTCCTTTTTGCCTCAAAGATGGCTCATTGGGAAGCGATCTACATGCCTGTTCTGGATCAGGGTGAAGTATATCTTTGACTCTCTCAGAGGCCTGCCAGCTGTTGTCAGGAGAGCTGGGTAGGACTGGAAGGGAATGACCAGATCAGATTAGGTAAGGGGCTCTCATCCCCTGATTGAGGGGCTCTGAATGGCTTGGTTAGGAGACATCAAAACCCAACTTTTTCCTCACCTGATCCTACAAAGGAGCACAGCCACCCAAGAAGGCATGCCATGCCCAGGACGACAGGAACTGCTTTCTTGGATTTTCTGGACCCACCTATAAATCGTAGACCTCCCCAAATCACGATGTCCAACCTCCATCCCCTCAGTAAGGTTGTGTGCCTCTTGTAGCTAGTAAAGCTATCTGCATCTGTTGAAGGTCAGATTCCATTTCTACTTCTTTATCATGTCGCCTTCTCATCCTGAATGCTAACACCAAAACTATGAAAACCTGGTATAGAAGAAAGAGAAGAATTCCAGGACAAAGGCACAGAAAATATTTTCAACGGGATCACAAAAGGAAATTCCCAAATCCAGGAAAAGTGGTGCCTATCTAGGTTCTAAGGCATGAAGAGCACCCACAAGACAGGACCAGGAAAAGAAATTCCCCACATCATATAATCATCAAATGTCAAACACACCCAAGCCCACCAGGCTTGGAGCTTCAACAAGAAAAGAGTCAAGACAAAGGTCTTGATTTTATTATAAAAGGTTTAATTTTCAGCAGTCAGGTGAGCAATCACAGAAAGCTTTTTGTTGTGAGGAACACAGATCTTATATAGGAATCAGATTTGGGGTAACCAAGGAATCACTAAGGAATCACCATGGATATTCTACTAACAGAAAGTAACTATGGACGCAGAAGGTTGCTGCATACCTCACCAACTCCGGTGCCCAAAGACCAAAACAAAACTAAGTTTCTAGGAGACCTAATTAATCATGGTGGCACAGCCTGTTGGCTCAGACAGCTGAAGCAGAGAGCTCAGAAGCTCTTAAAGTGGCACTCTACTTTTTTCCAATGCTTATGTCAAGCATGGCTCCCGACAATCAAAACACTAAATGTACAGATCAAATAATGGATATTGAATGCTGCAAAGGAAAAAAACCAAGTCCCGTATAATGCAGGCATGCCAGAATAACAGCTGATCTTTCGGTGGAGACTTTAAAAGACAGAAGGGCTTGGACTGATGAGCTACAAGCTGTGAAAGACCGGAGTACCAGTCCATATACACCCTGCAACTCTCTATGATCATTGAAGGAGAAAGAAAAACTTTCCAGAATAAAAGCAGGTTAAATGAATATAAGGCTTCCAAGTCATTCCCATGGTGGAACGAACACCTCAAACTGAAGGAAAGGATAAGCATAGACATCTTTCAGAAACTCTGAACATCAGTGGTCTCAACACTCAGTCAAAAGACACAAACTAACAGAATAGATTAAAAAACAGAATCCATCATTTTGACGTCCCTAAGAAACACACCTCACTATGGCAGATGCCTCAATACACTGGTGCCTGACTAAAGTAAGACTGACTCTGGAATTGTTTAGATGAAGAGTGAGCCCAATCTATTCTTAGAACTGTTCCTTTCTTATTTCCCTCAGAACTGTTCCTCCCATAGAGGGTTTTCTCTCTTTATTTAAAACAGTACATCGAAAGCTGGACACAGGGCACACACCTTTAATCCCAGCACTTGGGAGGCAGAGGCAGGTGGATCTCTGTGAGATTCAGGCCAACCTGGTCTACATAGTGAATTCCAGGCCAGCTGGGGCTACAGTGCATCCAGCATGTTACGGGAAAGGAAATGAGGGGCTGTGGGAATGACTTTTACAATATGGACATACTCTGGACTAATTGACTTTCACCTAACCTTGGCACGAAAAAGGTTCTTGTTTATAATGTTAACAAGTTCATTGTGCCATGTGCTCCTCTTCTGACCTGGGCAGCTGACCTTAATCCCTCAGGACCCCACCTTGTCCTCCACCCAAGATAGTGAATGAATGTGAATGTGCTCAATTAACATATCAAAGCACTGACAAGCAGTGCTATTCTATTTGCAAACAATGAAAAGAACGGAGAAGTCTTCCTGAAATTGTGTGTGTGAGACATTCTAGACCTAGGGATGAAAGGGCATGATTCCTTCAGAAGCGTGGAGCCTCAGTTTTACTTCTCCAGTTGATGCTGGAAATACTGCTTCAATAAAAATGAGTGAGGAGCTGGAGAGATGGCTCAGTGGTTAAGAGCACTGGTTGTTCTTGCAGAAGACCCTTGTTCAAATCCCAGCAACCAACTGTCTCTAACTCCAGTTCTAGGGGATCCAACACCCTCTTCTGTCCTCCATGGGCATTGAACAACATGGGTGCACTTACACACATGCAGGCATAACACTCATACACATAAAATATAAATAAATGAAAAATAAAAATATGAGTGAATAAGTAAAAAGAAGTAAAGAAAATTACAGATATAGTTTCTCAATCTGATGTTTATTTCACCTGAATGAAAGTAGTAGACGACATAGTGAGGTGTAACATTGAACAGCTGGTACTGGAAGGGGACACACAAGTCCCACAGTCTTGAGTGTGAAGCCAGGAGGTTTTGCTTCCATGTTGTATTTCACTCTTGAACCCACATGACCTAAGCCTCTCCTTCCACAAAAAAACACATCTTAGCCAAAACATTCTTACCTCACCCCTCTCAGAGATCATGGTTACTATCATATGCCCTTTATATAACTGACTACAGCATTTAAAGCTTTCAGGGAGCAGGAGAAAGAGAAAGGCTTCTTATCAAATAAAATCATGCATCCATGAAAGCCATCCTCCACATGGTACCAGCTCACAGGGACTCCCTGGTCTTCCAAGCGCTTCTTATAGAGCAAGGCATCGTCACGGAGGACGTCATACTCAAAGCTCACCATGAATGCCTCAGGAAGCTGAGCAATGGTCTTGTCATCTGCTAGAAGAGGTGAAACTTCTGTATTCCAAATATGTTTGGTCTCCAGATAGGCGGCTTCACTGAAAGGTCCAACAAGCTCAGGTTGTAGATCTTGGCTCTTGAACCTTTGGGGGATATTATCAGAACTGAGCCATTTCCTGTACTTTTTCCAGACATCTGGGGGAATACAAACACCTTTCAACATGGCCTCTCTCCAAGAGGGGTCAATGACTAGGTATTTACAAATACATGTACTCATTAAGTCTCTGGTGAGGAATGGGATGTTCCGGTACTGCTGATGAGATGGTAAGTTGAAATTGATGGCCTGTGTGATTGGACTAATCAGGACTTGGGCCCGAATCTGAGGGAGACTGGACATGCTAATCAAGGCCTGGGTGACAATGGCAACAGCCCAACCTCCAACACTCTCTCCACAGATCACCACACGTGACGAGTCTACCCCAAAGGTTTCCAGAGCCTTCAGGAAGTGGATAGTGGCATGCAGGCAATCCTTAGGGATGCTAGGGAAGGAGTGGTCAGGAAGTTTGCGATACCTAAGGAAGAAATTGGGAGCACAGAACACCTGTGAACACATAGGTCACTGAATGCTATTTCAAACAACATCTTCTACTGTCAAAGGAGAATAAGCATGATTAAATCCTCTGAATGATCCTAAAGATAAAGATGTCTATCCCCATTTTTCTTATGGTAACTTGGTGAACTTTCACAGAGTCTAGGAGGCCAGAATTCTCCTTTTTCTAAATTTATTTTATGTGTACAAATGTTTTACCCGCATGTATGTAAGTGGACGCATGCATGCAATTCCTACAAAATCCAGAAGAGGGAATCATATCCCCTAGATATGAATGGTTGTTAACCACCATGTGGGTCCTGAGAACTGAACTCAGTTTCTCTGCAAGACCAGTGCCCTTAACCACTGAGCCAAATCTACAGTCCCATGGGATTCTCCATTTCAATCTACACTATAATTCCCATAGATGAGCACACTCCACACAAGACCAGGCAAGGTCAAAGCAGAACAACCAGCAGAAACACAGTTGAAACTACTGTTGGTGCCACTGAGACAGCTTTGGGGGACTCATGCCTCTCTGAGGTACTGGACACATGGTAAGTACTGTTAAAGCTACCGTTAGACAATTTTAAATTTGATATAAATAGTAATACTAAGGTCTTATGTGGTGGTTTAATATAAATGTCCCTATAGGCTCAAGTATTTGAATACTTGGTCCACAGCTGGTGTTGGTGTTTGGAGAGATCATGGACTCTTTAGGAAACAGAACCTTTCTGGAAGAACTATGTCACTGGGGGCTGGGCTTTGAGAGTTAATAACCTTATCCCACTTCATGCTTGCTCTCTGCTTCGTATTGGCAGTTAAAAAGTGATCTCTCAGTTTCTAGCTCATGCCACCATGCCTGTCTCCTGCTGCTGTGCCTCCCTGCCATAGCAGAATCTTACTCCTCTGGAACCATAAGGCAAAACAAACTATGTGGAGCTGGTGAAATGGCTCTGTGATTAAAAAAAAAAAAATGGCTGCTCTTTCAGAGGATTGGGTTTGGTTCCCAGCACCCACATGACAGGTAACAACCATCCATAACTCCAGTTCCACTGGATCCATGCCCACTTCAGGCCTCTGTGGGCATTGCACACATGGCTGCATTTGAGTAGATGCAGGCAAAAACACCCATACACATGAAATAAAAGTAAACCAAAAAAAATTTTTAAATAAACTCTTTCACAAGTTGGAGAGATGGCTCAGAGGTTAAGAACACCAGCTAGATTCCCAGATCCCACATGGCAGCTAACAATTGTCTGTAGCTCCAGTTCCAGGGTACTCCAACATCCTTTAGTGATCTCCGTGGGTATTGCATAACATGGGTGCATTTACATACACATATAATATGCTTATACACATAAAAAATAATAATAAAATATTTTAAATAAAGTCTTTCTTACATAAGTGAATTGGGTCATGGTAGTTTATCATAGCAATAGAAAAGTAACTAATACAGAAACTGATTTCAGAGAGTGCACTGTTCCTATGAAGAACATGACCATATTTTTAGAAGAACATGGAAAACTTTGGAATATTGGACTAGAAAAACAGTTGAATGATGTAAACACAGTTTGACAGGTCATTCTAATAGGAGTCTGGAAGACAGTAGTGCTGAGAGTAGAAAGAAATGTAGAAACCCATATCAAGATTTCAGAGAGAAGCAAAGACTTTAACAGCAACTGGGATAGTATTGATAACTCTTGTGCAAGTCTACAGTGAAAAAGAGCAAGTAGCAAAGAAAGAAACACAAAATGTTGTTATGAGGGAAAAGAGCACTAGGGCCACTTACTGTTAGAGTGAAGGCATGTGCTAGAAAAGAGCTGTATTTGTTAAAGAAATTATCACCATTAAGGAAAAGCCTCCTACTATGTACTGGAACAGTGGGAAGTGTTTCCTCAAGGCAAGATGCTAGGCTTCCAACTTGTGAAAGGAAAATGCCTAAGGGATTTTCTGTTCCTTGAAAACAGCAACCTGCAAAGGCTACTGCAAACATGATTCAGGGAGGCCAGGGTCCACCCCAAGCTGGCGGCCAAACTCAGCAGTATAACCCACATAGCACTGACTTTAGAGGCATGAAATTTGCAAGAGTGAGAGGATCATGTGTTCTTTTATCAGTGGTTTCAGAGAACTGCTGAGGCCAGGCAATGTGTGCCAGTGCTAGAGTGGCTGCAAGAAGGCCTTGACGGACTATTGTATAAGGCTATGAAAGTGAATCCTGGATTGCACTAAAGACTCTAAGTTGTTATACATGCCAGAGCCATAAGGCATCTGGTAAGGAGAGCTAAATGCAGGGAGTGGAACCAGTCCGAGAGAGAGATGTGTGTTGAAGGCAGCAAAGCTGGCAGAGTAAAGACATCTAAGCCCTTTGAAACTAAAGTCTCAGACACTGGATGTGGAGCTGCATGATTTGGTGTTTCCCCTGATGGTTTTTGGTCTTGATTTGGTCCTATATTTTTTCACTATGCTCCAATTCCTCCCTTTGGTAATGGAAATATGTATTCTGTGCCATTATATATTGGAAGTATGCACTTTGTCTTTTGCATTTTACAGGGGCTCACAGTTAAGAGATTACCTGAGTCTCAGCAGACGCTTTGGACTTTTGAACAGTATTGAAACTCTTATAGACTATGGGAGCTTTTAAAATTGAGCTAAGTGAGCAGGACATGGTGGCACCTGCCTGTAGTCCCAGTACTAGGGAGGCAGAGGCAGGTGGATCTCTGTGAGTTCAAGTCCAACCTGGTCTACATAGTGAGTTCCAGGACGGCTGGGCTACAAGGAGACCCTGTCTCAAAAAGACCAAAAAAATTGAACTAAATGGATTTTTATTATAGTATGGTCATGAGGCAAGAGAGTGAAATGTGATGGTTTGAATGAGAAACGTCCCCCATAGACTCAAATATTTGAACATTTGGTCCCCACTTGGTGGCACCGTTTGGGAAGATCATGGAATATTTCAGAGGTGGAGGCTTGCAGGAGGAAGTGTGTCACCAAGGGTGGGTTTTGAGAGGTGACAGAAGAGTTGATAGACACACTCCACTTGCAGTTTGAGCTCTGCTTCGTGTTTGCTGTTAAAGATGTCATCTTGCAACTTCCTGTTCCAGCTGCCTGCTGCCACATGATCCCCACCATTATTGACCCCCCTTCTGGAACCATAAGGCAAAATAAACTCTTTCTTCCATAAGTCAGTTTTGGGTCATGGTGTTCTATCATAGCAACAGAAAAGTAACTAATACATCTTAATATACATATTCTTTCTGATGATTATTTTCCTATAAATAAGCAAAAAGAAGGGATTAGAGCAATTTGATTTCCTAAAAGACAACTCTTAGACTCTTCCCTGATACCCTGGCTGCTTTGAGTAAGGACTGTTAGTCAAACAGCCAGCTGGGTGACTTTAATGCCAGCACTGGTCACACTGGTCTCTTTGAACACTACACACCTTGAAAATGCTGCACAACAATTGCATCCACTTTCTGCTAAAATGCTGCTCTAGCCCTTAAAGTTGTGCCCAGCCCCCAGTTTCAAACAGCCTGCACCAGGCTTTCCCATTCACCAAGGCCAGAGGTAGACGATTTCTTCGGGAGGCCTAGCAGACTGATTCTTCGCCCTGGTACCAAAAGACCCACGATATCATTCCTATGAACACAATGATTCCTTTGCACGAAACTCTTCTGAGACTGTGGTGAACATCCTTTGCTAACTGTGCAAGCAGGCTGTTGGGTTTACATCTTGCTGTATTGGGTCCCCTTGAGGTTGCAGCATGAGGCCCAATTATTTGCTTCACTTCTGGTCTTTCCTTATCTAATTTATTGTTTGAAAAAAAACTGAGCTGGTTAAAGCAAAGTAGAAATGCTGGCAGTGGTGTGAGCAGACCAGGGGCGGCGGAACCACAGCACAGGCAGAACCTCAGGAGCAGGCTGTGGAAACACGCTGTATTGGGTCCCCTTGAGGTTGCAGCATGAGGCCCAATTATTTGCTTCACATCTGGTCTTTCCTTATCTAATTTATTGTTTGAAAAAAAAACTGAGCTGGTTAAAGCAAAGTAGAAATGCGGGCAATGGTGTGAGCAGACCAGGGGCGGCCGAACCACAGCACAGGCAGAACCTCACTGTGGAAACACCAGCAGTGGTAGAGCCACGGGAACCACTGACAGCATTGACGGTGGTGATGGCTGAGCCACGGGAGTAGTCAGAAATCTTTATAGCAAGAGTGGATGATCTGCAGAAACTGCAAGGAGCCTTTCCTACAGCAGAGGTGTGTCCCCAAAGGGCCTGGTTCCTCTGAGGGGTGGGGCCTGCTGCAGAGAATTGACTGCAGAGAGTTAGCCATGGAGGGAGGGGCTTTTGATGCCATCTTGGACGGAAGCAGTGTGGCAGACGAGAAAAAGGATGGCCCTGGTGTCGGGCCAGTGTGGGCGTGACAGGGGGCATTTACTGACATGGGGTGAGACTGTGGGCCATCCTCACATGGGGTGAGGCATGGGTGAAAGCTAACGGTGACTATGGGCGGGACACAGAAGTGATCTGGGCCCCGTGGGCCGCTGAGCCACAGAGTGGAAAGGGGCACCGGATGTCCACCTTTTGTGAAGCACTGGGTGTTCGCCTTTGTTAGTAACTCCATTTCCTGCCCTACCCAAGATATAAAATGAAAAATCCAGATAAAGGTAGGTTATATAGTTTGTCTAATAGCACCAGGAGCAAGAGACCCTGAAGAGAGTGAGGGTGGGCCAAACAGAGAGCGGAAAGGAGAAAATTTAGGGGCCCGAGAGGTGAAGATGTACGAGCTCCAGAAAAGGAGTAGTAAACACCTTCAAAACCATCTCCAAAGGAGAACCATGATGCTCAGCTTGACCTTTGGTCGGTTCTGACTGCCCCCATCCTTCCACAATTTCAGTTCCTCTCCACCAAGACCAGGACCAGGCTGAGCTCTGTATCTACCACTTCTTTTCTTTCTTCAGTGTTTCTTAGGTGGACATGTGTTCCTAGAACATATTCTTTGGGTTTAAACTAATTTCACTCTGTACGTAAGCCTTCTTATGGGGGCTTACTTGTGGTTTTACACCACCTACGCTCTTTCACATCATGATGTGTTTTTCGGTTTCGTTTACTGTATGGCCAAGTAATGATCCATTGGGGCATTGTTTCCTAATGTCATAGTCACTTTACCGTAGCTCAACCATGTCCTCCGCAGCAATGGGCTTCTTTCCATGCAGGCTTCTGCTGTTTTGACCGTGCTGTGTCGTACCCATGGTATGTGCAGAAGAATCTGTGAGGTCAGGGCCCTTTTCTGTGATCTATCTAGCAAACACTTCCCACAAATGCTTCCTCCCATGGATAAATCACTGACTTCTTCAAAGTACTCACCCCACTGAAAGCAACACCGAGTCAGTCTCCCGGGCAAGAAAACTGCACATGCCATGGTAACTATCTGCAAGGGAAGACTTGGTGTTAAGCAGGTATGACAAGTACCCAGCACTTCCCACCACATCCCCAGGGACAGCAGCAAGCAAGGTAGATGGACACGGGTTTGACATCTTCTCTGCGTAGTGCAGACACATGCAGGAGCTACAAAATAGCAAGAGGAGAGACATAGGTGAGCAGGTGGGAGAGGGAAAAAAAGAGACTGAGGTGAGTGACAATCTGTGAATTCTGTTGAAAGGAGCTTTCTGTTGGGAAGAGGAGACCAGCTACAAAATAGCAAGAGGAGAGACATAGGTGAGCAGGTGGGAGAGGGAAACAAAAGAGACTGAGGTGAGTGACAATCTGTGAATTGTGTTGAAGGGAGCTTTCTGTTGGGAAGAGGAGACTAAAGCAACAGGTAAGAATTGGAGAAAGTCCACCACTTTTGTGTGCAGTGATGAAGGGGCTGGAGTGAATGGGTTTTCACCACAGTGGTCCAGCTAAGCTGAAGAGAGGACATAAGATTGGGGCCATTGGAGAGAGAGAGAGAGAAAGAGAGAGAGAGAGAGAGAGAGAGATCCAGGTGTTCTATGTGGCATACAGCTTTAGTCCCAGTGCACAGGAAGCAGAGGCAGGAGGATCTCTGTGACAGCGAAGCCAGCCTGGTCTACATGATGAGTTCCAATTCTGCTGGGGCTACAAGGAAACCCTGTCTCAAAAAAAAATAGGAACAGCTAATTCTGTGAGTGGGAAAGAGAGGAAGGAATCGCATCCAGTGCAAGGCAGGCATTGCTGGCCTAATCTAGTCATAGCTTAACATAGAAAAAACATTGCTATGCAGGCTGCAATCCACTCACTAATGTAAGGCCGAGCCCTCAATTCTTCCTCCCTAGAAACTCTGACTTCTACCTGTGTTGACTCCCTTCTCAGAAATTTTTATGGAACTATATCTAAGACTCCTCCTGTCATGAGGACCGTCCTCTCCCACCCCACATGGATACTCCTTACCCAGGCTTCCAAACATCGCACCCCCTCCATGGTAGAAGACGATGCCTCGCCGGAGGTTGGAGGATGCTGCCTTGGGCTGGAACAGTCTCACAGGAACTACCCCAAAATGCATGTCTGTTACCAGCAAGTTAGGGTCCTTCTTTATCGGCAGTACGTCATGTAGAAACTGGACAAACTTGGGCATACGGCAAATTCTCAGCTTCTCTAGTATAGTTCCCTGTTGAAGATTAAAAAAAGAAGAAAAGTGAAGCAGGAGACTGCAGAGTAGGCATGTAGACACTATACATGTTCCCCGCATATACACTATATGTTCACCACATCTCTCCCATCTCCTTTATGTACAGTGGGTCCAAAGGGGAACAACTTGCTGTGGACTCTTCATATGGGTTTGAGTCTTAATTTCAGAAAAGTCTTGATTGAACAATGTGATTTGAGCATTGGTCTCCACCAAAATTCCTATTGAAATGCCATGGCCATTGTCAATATTGAGAATGGGACATTTACATGGTTGTTAGATGGTTTCCTCATGTGTTAATTAAGTACATTGTGGACGGAATGGCATAAGTATTTCTCTGGGGCAGGCTGCTGAGGGGTGAGTGGGCTGGATTTTCTGTCCTCTGAACACAGGTACACACGTTTCCGCCAGGGGATGACAGAAGAAGGCTCATTGCTAACACCATGCTCCTGGGCTTCCCAAATTCCAGAACTGTGAGAAAACTTAACTTTTCTTGTCTATAAATCACCTTTTTCTGTAGTATTGTTACAGCAGCAAAATAAAAGACTAGCACTTAGCCAGAAGAGAAATTCAGCTTGAAGAAATCACTAAATGGGACAGAGCTAAATGTCCCAATCAACAGGCCCTAAGCTTCTTGGCTATCTTTCACTTTATGCAGGGCTGTACCCAGCCTGAAATGGCAAAGATGATTTGTCATGATGTCAACATTCATGATTATATGCACAGAGTTCTTGGATATGGAAGATGCTTCTTACGGTTAGCGTTAACTGTAAACCTAACACAACCTAAAATCACTTGAAAAAAACTCAGTTGACTAATTGTCTTTATCAGATTGATCTATGGGCATATCTGTAAGAGACTGCTTGTTTGTTATCTGTTGTAGAAGGGCCCAGCCCACTGTGGGCAATACCATTCCCCAGGCAGGCAGTCCTGAGCTTTATAAGAAGCTAGCAGAGCAGGAGCCTAAGTGAGTTAGCAAACAAACTCCCTCCCAGGTTTCTACTACCAGCTCCTACTTGAGTTCCTACTGTGACTCCCTCAACGATAAAGCCCGTAACCTGGGAGGGTGAACAAAATAAATTCTGGCCTCCTCTAAATTGATTTTGGTCATAGTCTTTGTCACAGCAACAGAATGAAACCAAAACAGAAATTTGTGCCCAGTAGGGTGTTACTGTGATTCACATGACCACATGGCCTTTCATGCCTTGGATTATCTTGTTGGAGGATTGTGGAAGTATTTGTCGCTTTGGGATGGAAAAGTCTTTAAATGCTCAGAGATTAATGAGTCATTCTTGTGGGATCTTGGAAGTCATGCATGCTGAGAAAAATGTGGAGAGCTGGCTGATGAAGTTTCAGAGGGAATTCAAGAGTCTACAGATAATTAAAATAGGGGGCATTTGTGTGGTATTTTAGATTAAGAGTCTCTGTGTGCTGATCAGCTGGGACTGAAGATTTATCTGTGATTAGTGAAAGATCAGCATCCCTGAGGTTATATCTATGCTTCATTGGAACAATATAATGTGCTCCTTCGGGGTCAGCACACAGACTCTGTGGTCCAAGGAGCCAAGGCTGCATCTTAAGCAAACAGCCAAACTTAGCAACGTGTAAGAATCACCAACATGCTATTGGTTGGTTTGGTGTTTTTCGGTTTGGTTTAGGTTTTGATTATGGTGTTTTTCTTTTTTTTTTTTTTTTAGACAGTATCCCTGTAGCCCCAGCCAGCCTGAAACTGGCTACATAGACCAGGCTGGCCTCGGTCTCATGGAGATCCACCTGCCTCTGCATTCCAAGTGCTGGGATTAAAGGCATGTTCCATCATGCCTGGCTTTGTGCTAGTTTTGAAAACATGAGAGCACCAGAATTGGAGGGGTCACGGAGAAAAGATGAGGTTTGGCACCTGTTGTACCACAGTATCCTCCAAATTGAAACATTCCCTTCCAGGACAAAGGTGGGATGCTCATGAAACTCAGAAGGTAAATAAACTTCCCATTTCTGGCCCTTCCTCAGCTTTTGGAAACAATAAACAACTGCTGGAAGAAGAGTCTGACCAGCCAAGTGACAGAGAGGAGATTCTCAGACATGTCAATCTGTTTGCAAGTTGTGTAGAGGGCTCCATGGATGCAGCTTTCCAGCTGAACAGGGACGCAGGGTGAGGCAATTGGGGTACCTCTTCAGTAGGTCTGTCTAAAAGACTCCCAAATTGCATAACTCTTTTTTTTAACTTTGTTATTTTTATTTTATGTGTATGCGTGTGTTGCCTGCATGTAGGTAAGTGCACCCATGTCATGCAATTGCCCGTGGAGGTCAGAAGAGGCTGTCGGATCCCCAGGGACAGGAGTTATGGACAGTTGTTAGCTGCCATGTGGGTGCTGGGATTCGAACCCAGGTCTTCTGCAAGAACAACCAGTGTTCTTAACTGCTGACTCATCTCTCCAGCCCATAACTCTTATCTGTAGGGAGAAAAGAAAGTCCTTGACTGGTGAATAGGAGATGTGAAGGGGAAGTAAAGGCAGGAGTAATTAGCATTACAAGTTCCAGATAGGGAACTAGAAAAAAGTCAGAACAGGGCAATTTTCAAATGTTCATGTGAAAATCCACTAGAGCTTCTTGACAAGGGCTTCCAAAAGCATCCCTCTCTTGTGTTCTTCCTCATTTTTCTTTTGTCTTCATGGATGCAGCTTTCATGCTGAACAGGGACGCAGGGTGAGGCAATTGGGGTACCTCTTCAGTAGGTCTGTCTAAAAGACTCCCAAATTGCATAACTCTTTTTTTTAACTTTGTTATTTTTATTTTATGTGTATGCGTGTGTTGCCTGCATGTAGGTAAGTGCACCCATGTCATGCAATTGCCCGTGGAGGTCAGAAGAGGCTGTCGGATCCCCAGGGACAGGAGTTATGGACAGTTGTTAGCTGCCATGTGGGTGCTGGGATTCGAACCCAGGTCTTCTGCAAGAACAACCAGTGTTCTTAACTGCTGACTCATCTCTCCAGCCCATAACTCTTATCTGTAGGGAGAAAAGAAAGTCCTTGACTGGTGAATAGGAGATGTGAAGGGGAAGTAAAGGCAAGGGTAGTTAGCATTACAAGAAATTTTGAACTTTTAAAGTGGTGGAATTTTTTTAAAATCCTGGACTTCTAAGGTTATCCTATGTTTTATATTATTATATTATTACATCAATGAGGAAAAATTAACCTAATGTGGACCTAATGACCTCAGTATAACTTTGTTCTGTGTGATAGACGAATAAATACTAACAAATGTATTTGACAAGAACCTGATCTATGCCCAATAATAAGACTAATGTGTGTGTTTGTTGGTGTGTAGAAAAGTAACAGGACTTTGGAAGTATCTACTTGTACTCAAATCATAAAGGGCACTTTGAGATCAGTCTCAGGCTAAGATAAGAGAGACACACAGCCATAGTCTGAGATCTTGGAGAAATACCTGCAGTAGTGTGTCTTATTTGTCAAAATAGCTAAGACTGAGTTGGAGAGATGGCTCAGTGATTAAGAGCACTAGGTGCTCCTGCAGAGGACCCAGGTTCAGGTCCCAGCACCCACATGTCGACTAGCAACCATTCATAATTCCAGTTCCAGGGAACCGGACACCCTTTTCTGACTGCTGTGGGCATTGCACAACACAGTGTGCATTTACCTACACATAGGCAAATACACTCATACACAAAATTAATAAAAAATCTAAGATTGTACTGGCATCTGCAATATACCATGTTACTGGGGAATGTCATAACCCTTGCCCACACTTGCTCGCTTTTGTAAAAATGTTGAGCATTTAAGTTTCCTATAATAGCCTAAAAGACATGTATATTTCCATGCTGGAAGTCTCAAATCCACCAATATGTTTACTGCCAAGGAATAATGTGAAAAGTCCCATAAAAACCTTTATGTATTTCTTTTTTCAATATTTTATTGATTATTTTTATTTTATGTGTAATAGTGTTTTGCCTGCATGTATGTAAGTGCACCACATGTGTGCAATGCCCCACAGAGGGCAGAGGAGGATGTCAGGTCCCCTGGAACCAGAGTTACAAACAGTTGCTAGCAGCCATGTGGGTGCTGGGGATCAAACTCAGGTCTTCTGAAAGAACAGTAAATATTCTTAACCACTGAGTCAATCTCTCCAGCCCCACCTGTATGTATGTGCCTCATTTCCTCTGGAGCATAGCTCAGTCTAAGATCCATGCATAATAAAGGATAAACTTCCTCCCCTTTCTGAGTCTGGGTTGAATCTTGCCAGGCCAGGTCAGTCTCAGGTTAATTTCTGTAACAATATTAACATGAGATCTTGGGGACATGAATGAAAAGTAATGGTTTTAAAATGATATGTTTATGTGTCAACTTAAGATGTGGAATGTTCTAGATGTCATTAACTGTCAAGCTGATGCAACCTTGAATTGCCTTAAAAAAGACTCTCAATAGAATAACTGTCTATCAGTTGGTCTCTGGGCATGTCTGTGAGGGATTATCTTGTTTGGTAATTGATATAGGAAGGGCTGAGCCCACTGTGGGAAGTATCATTCCCAAATAAGTGGTCCTGGGCTACATAAGAAAGCTAGCATAAGCCTGAGAGAGCTAGCAAGAAGCAGTTCTCCTTGATTTCTTCATCATGCTTCCCCTTGAGTTCCTGTCTGACTTCCCTCAGTAATGGACTGTGACCTGGAAGTATAAGCCAAATAATTCTTTCCTCCCCGACATTGATTTGGGCCATGGTATTTGTCATAGTAACAGAATGAAACAGAATGCTTCAGCTGTGTTTTTGATAAACAGAAAGGAGTCATGTGATCCATAAGAGTTATGTTGTGGGAGCCAAAGAAGGGGCAAAAGATACAGGGCTACAAATTTTCCAAATATGTCTTTTTTCCTTTTATTTATTATTTTGTTTTGCATTCTCTCTCTCTCTTCTCTCTCTCTCTCTCTCTCTCTCTCTCTCTCTCTCTTTCTCTCTCTCTCTCTCATGTGTGG